CGCCGTCGCGGTCGCCGCGCTCTGCCCGCCTGCCGGCCGGCTTGCCCACTCACTTTCCCTAGCCCCGGGGGGAAAGGTCAGCAGCGTCCTGGAGCCACCGTGTCAGTCCCCGACAGCCATGAACTGCAGCGAGAGTCAGCGGCTGCGAACCCTGCTGAGCCGCCTGCTGCTCGAGCTGCACCATCGGGGCAACGCCAGCGGCCTGGGCGCCGGCCCCGGCCCGAGCATGGGCATGGGGGTCGTGCCGGACCCCTTCGTGGGCCGCGAGGTGACCAGCGCCAAGGGCAACGACGCCTATCTCTACATCCTGCTGATCATGATCTTCTACGCCTGCCTGGCCGGAGGCCTCATCCTGGCCTACACCCGCTCCCGCAAGCTCGTCGAGGCCAAGGATGAACCGCCCCAGGCCTGCGCTGAGCACGAATGGGTCCCCGGAGGCGCTCCGACTCCCGACGCCGAGGCAGATGCCGAGACAGCCGCCGGCTCCCCGGCCCAGGGCCGCCGCCAACTCGCCCCCGGGGGGCTGCCTGCCCTCGCCCAGGGCGCCGAGCGGGTCTAGAACCACAGCCCCTGCCTGCTCTCGCATCCTCCCCATCTCGCTTCTCCCTGGGCGCGGCTCCCTTCCCGGGTTCGCCTCACCTAAGGCCCAGGCAATGAGGAGAGGCCAGGAGACCTTGTCTGGAAGGCCCCGGAAGGAGACGCACCACCCTAACCCACTCCTGGCCAGTTTTTCCCACCTCACCCCCCACGCTTCCACCCCCACCCGGCACATCCAACTGCACTAAACTGCCTCTGCTCTCTTGTCTTCAGACAGCCCTCACACTATGCTCCAGGCCTCTGGGAACTGAGGCCAGCACGTCCAACACTTGGCATTGAACTGAAGCAATGAAGTCTATCAGACCGCTGGGCCGTCTAACTGGCAGCTGTTCCAGGGGCTGCCAGGGACCGCTCGCTCTGCAGAGCCAACGGGCTTGCCATCACTGCCAGGCCGGCTGCAGCAGCTCCAGCTTCCTGTTGCCTTAGGGACAGAGACAAAGAAAATGAAGAGACCTCAGACATCTTTTCCCTCCCTCTCCCTTTCAGCCGGGAGCTTTCAGGACATTAGGACCAGTCTGTGGGATAGAATGGATTTAATGGGGACTGAGGGGAGGGGGGCTCAAGAGGGAGGGGGAAGCTCTATGAACCCAACCGTATGGTTTTCTTGCTCCTCAGTTGTCATCCCAAAGGTAACTTGCCTGATTTTTAGTAGCTTTGCCATCTTCTACTGTGGGTAACCATTACTGGGTGTATCACCTCAATACTTCCAAATGCCTCTTCTAAACTGATTCAGTTGTTATCACAGTGTCGGCTTCATCCATGGAGCATGAGGCTCAGATGTCCCCCTGCTCTGTAACCCTGGGGGGATGTCAGAGGCAGGTAATAAAGGTTGTTTAAACAATAACCTCAAGACTCTTCTCTCAAAACCCCAGCCTTGAGACCCAGTAACATACACAGAAGGAATTATTTTTCACTTGTGGGAATGATGGTTGGGTGATTGTGATAGCTATATCTATCAATCCAGTTCCAATTCAAGAGGTGTGATTGTGGGCGAAGGAAATGTTTATGCGGCAAAGTGGGTGGTTTGGTGAAGTGTTTCAAAAATTACACATGCTTTGTAACTCCCCCTTCTTTTAAAAAAAACTTCTGAAGCACTTTCAAACATTACAGTGCTAAAAAAGGATTTCCCATTTCTCTTTTGTAGTTCTTCAGGCTACACATTACAGAAACCTCTCAAGCCAATCACTTTTAGTTGTCATCAAAGCTCATTTTTAGAAGCCACCTTGATGGCTTTCTCAAAAAGTGGCTTGTTAAAAGACACTGTGTAAATCCTAAGTCAGAAGGAAGATGCTTGAACTGAGCAATCTTAACAATAATGGGTAAAGTTAGAAGTGTGGGCTTATTGATTTCTTTTCCTTGTCTCAAGAAGGTCCTTGAAAACTTGCCTGCTTAGGGATGAAATGCTTATACCCGATAATGGCTGTTTGGGTCTCACCAAACACACATAAAATTACCTCTTAGAACTAAGCAAATTCGCTTAAATACAGCTGGTTTCTCAGTAATAGCAGGACAAAGATCTTCCAGTCACTTTAATGCATTGATAAGATATAAACCTCATTCAAGGCATTTGTTTTTGACCTTCCAGCCTATCTGGCATTTTACTGGCGCTATTAATAAGTCAAATGAACTTACTTTCATTCCCAAGATTCACTCCTTGAAGCTATACTGGCCTTGCCTCACTGGCCCCTCTCCAGTGCTAGTTCCAGGCCCGAGGTTGCCCCTCTCCTTGACGGTGGGGACCAGGGATTGGGCAGTAGTCCAAGATAATGTCAGCAAGAGAGGGGATACCATGAGAGCCATCTTGGCCAGGCTGGAAGGCCTGAGGGGTGTGTGGAGGGAGGGCACAATATACAGGGATGCTGGGGATGTGTGGGGGAGGAGGAGGCAGTCCCCAGCCCCATGTTTTAAACCCAACATCACTAATTTATGTGGCATAATGGGGGAACACAAGGTTATTTTGATAATGAAGCATAATCACGGCTTTAAGTGTTGAAACTTCGTTAACACACGTGTGCCATTTTTAATAGATATTTAAAAGAATATATTGCCAAAAATAAAATAAAGAAAGCTGGGAACAATTGGGATAATAACCATAATAAGTATTCACGTGCCAGAGGTGGGAAACAAATCCCGCGGCAAAATATTCCTGCTTTTTATTTTAGGATGACTTAAGGTACCCACGAAGAACATGTAGTGAGAGTGGCTATAGAACTTTCCCCGGGAGAAAAGAGCCCTGGCCTAGAGAGAGCCACTGGCTTTACTCTTCAGTTGCTTTTTTTTTTTTTTCAAACGCTTTCAGGGTTGCAACTGTGTCCCAGATAAAGAAGTTTCCGAGAAGTCTGGAGACTCAACTTTCTACCAACCCGTGGGGGTGTCAACATTACAGTGATCCTATTGTAGTCAGGAAAAGATAGAAGAAAGTAAAACTAGATTCTTGGCCAACTATCAGTTCTGATAATGTATCCGCAAAGGGTACGAGCTGACTGTACAAATTGGGAAAAATGTTAGCCTTGTCCTTAATATGATTGCAAAGACGTGAACTGTTTTGGTAACTTACAGTGATCTTTTTTTCAGCCCACCCCGCAGTCTATTTTTCCCCATTGCACAAGCAGATCCTGTTTCAATTCAGGTTCAGAGCTTTGCTCCATAATAATAATGAAGCATAAGACCCATGCTTCCTTACTTGTAACTTGAGGCTTCCAACAAAGAGGGACTAGGAGATGTTTTGAGTTCCAATGTCTGGAAGTGCTCATCGACGGTATGAAAATAAACGGAGGCTTTTCTTCCATTACAGACGTATTTCTGTGGTTGTCAATTTTCCTTTTCTAGAGGGATTTAAATGGGGGGTTTTCATTTGTTGGTAGTTACCATCTTCTCCTTTTCAAATTGCTGTTGCTTTTATAAACCCAAGATCTGCACATAACTTGTATCAACAAAGAGAAAAGGGCCTGGGCTGCTTTCCAAACAATCTTGCCTGGCGGCTAGAGAAAATGCACCATGATTTCGTGGAGTGAGCCCAGGACCAGAAATCAGAACTGGGGGCCAGCCCCGGCTTTGCCAATTAACAAGCTTTGTTTCTCACGGTGAGCTGCTTAACCTCTCTGGACCTCAGTCTCCACAGCTGGGGGGATTTGAGGATGAGTGAGATAATCCATAGGAAGGGCTAAGACTAGCATAGAAGCGTTAGGTGTTAACTTTGTATTTTCCTTTTCCTTCCTTGCGGGGGGGGGGGTGCCCTTGGCAGCTGCATGGCAAAAGCAGGAGAAAAAGAAAATTCTCTATTAGTAGATTCTACTCTTACTGCTCCAAGAAGAGGATTGCTGATACTTTGCCACTAGCTCCAATATTTCTGAACCTATCACCCCCATTCTCAGAGTCTTGTCTGCCTAGGAAACTGTTCATAACTTCCCCACCATTCTCCTCTACTCCTCTTTATCTGCAGGCCCACGGTGCCCTTTTAAAAAGTAAAACTGGAATACTTTATTTACTGGTTCCCACCAGGACGGCAGTCTAGACTTTTGAAAACACAGGTCCTCAGAGATTCATACAGGGCCCAAGGGAAGAGCAAGAACTGGGAGCTGTGGGCTTTGCGAGCCAGGTAGGAGGAAGAACAGTCGGGAATGCTCTGTGAAGGTAAGGGAGCATGATTGAGGGCCACAAAGGCGAACCCACTAGATTGGTCAATAGCCAGCCTCAGTGAAGTCACCAAAAATGGCTTTGGGAGAAGCTGGATGGGAAGTCACTTTTCAGCCCTTCTGTCACTTAACACAAGGTGATGAAGGCAACCCCTCTTTCTGTGCTGGTCTCAGAGCATGGGACTTCCCTCAGTCGCCTGTGGACTGTGTTTTGAAGGATGGCAGAGTCATAGTCAAAGCTGTGGTCTGTGCCTGTTCCTCTGAAAAGAGTGTAGCCAGAGCGGACAGGGGGTACCTCAGATACATTTTTTGATAAGCATGAAAAAATATACATAATGTCACATTTACCATCTTTGCAGGTTTTTGTAAGTGTGCAGTTCAGCAGTGCTCAGTGCATTCACCTTGGCCCACAGTGCCCTTTTAAGTCAGAGAAAAAGGCAGACAGCTAAATTACTTTACATAGAAGTGGCAGAACTTAATCACTGCTTCAGACGACGCCCCCTCCATGGGTATTCACATTTTAAAACAGGTCACTTAAGACAGCATAAATGAAACCCAAGGAAGGAGATTCTAGTTGCGGGGTTCAGTGGGATCTGGAAGGAGGGATCACTTCAGTGGGACACTGAAATGTTTCCATACGTTGGGGAGGCAATGGAGAGGCTGTGCTAAACTTCCCTCAACCTCTCCGTTTGCATTCTTCTCCTATTGCCAGATGTTCTTGTATCACAGGGGAGGACTCTGATGGCAACGATGATTGGATTGCGGTACGAATTTACTGAACTTCACATACCTGACCTAGGGCCACTTCTCTAGGACTAGTCTCTGGCCAAGCTATGGGACTGGCATTTATCTCATTTTTCCCCTTCCTGTCTCAAGCTTCCCCCCCAATTTGGGGATACTGGATCTTAGCCCCAGTACTCCCAAATTATTCCCTTTTGCCTTCTAAAATCTAATAATCTTTTTTTTTTGGTCTGGGGCTGGGTTTGAACCTGCCACCTCTGGTATATGGGACCAGCACCCTACTCTTTGAGCCACAGGTGCTGCCCTAAAATCTAATAATCTTATTCATTTAAATATAATCTGTTATTCATCCCAGCAATGATACAAGAAATGCATCTTTAATGGTGGCTTTAGGACATTGGGTGTGAGAGAGAGAGGTATGAAAGGGGACAAATCTTAAGACATTCAAATTTGTGATGAGGAAGCCTGGCTGTGGTAGTCACAGCATTGCGGAAAGCTCCTCAAAGATAGAACTTTTTTTCCCCCTTTATTCCCACTGTGTCTAGGGAAGTTTGGAAGGTCTTCCCACTGTGACCTTCAGCCATGTGGGAAGACACCTGCATTACCATGTGACGCCCCTAGGCTGGGGGATGAGATAGGAGGGTGAAGATGGGAATAATTGGGGCAGGTAGAAGCCCATAGCCAGCTCCCCAGTTAGCCCTCTGTCTACTGGAATGCTACCTTAGCAAACAGGACCCAGAAAGGACTGGCTGAGGAGAGTGAAGGGATAAATACTAGGGTGGGTCCCTTGAGGCCTATAAGGGTGGAATTGTCATAGTTTTCCTGCCATCTGTCTATAAGTCTGTAACAAACCAAGGCCATAGCCAAATGATAAAAGGATGCTCTGCGATCAGCTGAGTTAGTCTCCAGCCAGTGTCCTGAGTAACTGGCACCATCTCTTAGAAGTGTGGACCTTTGCCTTAGCAAATCCAAGGGGCGACTCAGTTCAAGACACAACACCCCCCCGCCTTTTGTCTTTCTCCATCTCCCAGTAAGGTAGAAGAGTGTAGGCACAGGGTGTAGGCTCTAGTACCAGACTGCCTGGGTCCAAATCTATGGTCTGTCTTTCATTAGCTGAGTGACTTCAAGAAAGTTACCTAACCTCTCCAAGCCTCACATTTCCTCATCTGTAAAATGGATGTAACAAATAGTGCCTGCCTCCCCTGGTTGCTGTGAAGATTGAGGCGTTACCCTAGAGCCTGGCCCAGGGGAAGGGGTCGGTAATGGTAGCTGCTATTCTGTACTTCCCTCTCATCTTGGCTTCCAATTCTTCCACCGCTACCCCCTGTTCTCCTTTTGGCTCCATTTGCCTCATTCCTGTTAGTGTGTACAATACACCAGACTTCCCTACCTTAAAAATAACCCTCTTCAAGAGAGAAAAAAATAAAAGAGGAAAAAAAAAGAAAGAACTTTAGTGCCCCTTTCCCCC